GCGGCAACGGCCACGGCAGTGCTGAGCGAATCTCTGACAGGGAAGTGCTGTGTCGTAAGCGTGCGAAGGCTACTTGGCAGACCTTTGTTTGGTTCATGCGGGAGAGGGAAGAATGCGCTGGGAGAGAAGTTGCGGAGGGTGAGGCTTCGCAAGGCTGAGCTCTTTGAGACGATGGGAAATCCCCTATTATTTTGGTAGAAGTACGGAGTTGGGTAGTTGGTTACGCTCAAGTCCAAGGTGTGGAGGAGGGGTGTTTCTGGAAATTGGTCAGGAGGCAAGGCAAAGTTGGCCGTCCCTGTACGAATCGTGAGCGTTGACCAGCGCGCGGCATGCGGCACAAGCTGCTTTCTGAATAATCCAATTCCCGCAGAGGGCGAGAACGATGCCGTAATGTGCAAGGGGTGACCTTTTGAGCGGTCCAAGTAGATAGAGAGGAGTGTCGATACGTGTCGGCCCCACGTGAGATCCCTTTTACCGCGAACACAAGGCTCATTCCCAACGTTTGATAGGATGAATGAAGACCAGCAGCTGTGGTTGGCGGCATCAAGCATAATAGCGCGCCACAGTCGGCAAACGCGGCTCAGAGAGATCGCTGTGGCCTTCTCGCCGGCAAGTTCGTCATTTCCGCATGCCCCAGTAAAAATGAGGCAGAAAATTTCGGTTGAGAGGGCTGCAATGGGCGCTGGCGTCCTTGCATTACGGTGTAATTCATTCGTGGATATCGATGCAGATGTGCAGTCGGGTGTCGCCAATGCGTGCTCCAAGTGTTGTTTTGCGTGTGGTAGCTCATCCGCTCGATTCAAAACATCCATGCAGTTGCCGTGGTCCAGTGTGTGTGTGTCGAGCGTCGTCATAGGGGGGTCGAGGTTCTGAGACGTTCTAGACGAGGGAGTCACAGAGTCCTCCAATTTCAACATCAAAGCTCTAGAGACTAGCAGGAACCTATCCTTACACCAGCAAGCAATGACGATGTAGAGAACGAAAAGTCCCCGTGGGCGGCCATGCGCCTACGGCCTGGGCCGCCGCCGCCATCACGGACATGTCCGGATTTTCCGGCACTCAGGTAACACCTCTCTCACTCAGGCTTGACGTCGACCTTGAACCGTGTGCGTGATTCTGCTTCGCGTCGCTTTTTCTCCACAGATCTACTACTAGTCTCATGGGTTCGAAAACTGGAGCTCTTTATATTTGACTCTAGGGCAACCAAATGCAGTACGTAGATTTTTTTCCGCCGCTGGCACGCCGCTCTAACTTCTTATTACCCTGATGTCCAATTTGCAGCCTATACACCGACTACGCACTACGCTCACGGCCCACGGATCCCAATTTTTGCTTCCCATTAAGCACTGACTTCCTGTAAATCAAGCGTCGAGAGAGAGATTTCTAGGCTGATCCTGAGGCGAGGACGATTACGAAGAGGTTTAAATTAAAACCCTCAAATACACCAGCTGTCCCTTATTACCCTGTTCCTTGGCCATCTTGCCTTGCACCAACGGGCTAGTCGAGTCGGCCATCACTCTCGCAGCCCGCTCTAGCTCTCAGGCCTCACGGAGCTGAGAGTCATGAGCTCTGCTGCTACCGACCTCCTTACCCTCAGGCTTGTTGCTCTCCACACATACGAGAAGGCAACAACATCGTCACCCTTCGTGTTCACCATATTTTCCGATCAGAACAGCCCGGATCCAGCCCTCTCATTGACCACCAACCAGTCCACCTTCTACACCTCTCTCCACCTCTCAATTTTGTCTGCGCGAGCGTTACCTCATAGGTTCTGTACGACCAGGCTGGAATCGCTCTTTTCTTCCACCGCCGCTGCGATATCAGCAAGTGGATTAAAGGAGGCGTCGAGTGGCTCGATAGCCAGGCGAAGCGCAGCAAAGTGGAGGAGTGATATATTGTTGAGAAGGAGCGGCATTGAAAGAGGTCGAAAGAGGCTACTGAAACCCTTGATGTAAGGCTATGGTTTTATTCCATGAGGCGAAGTACTGAACATGTGTTTCAGAGTAGACATCGTCGAATGTATTTTTATTCCGCATTAATGCGATGACCGGGGCCACGTAGTGCTACAAGTCTCCCTCTTGCCTCACCGCCCAAAACTCGACCCCAGAGCGTAAATTCCACCACTTCGAGGTCTACTTCCTCTCTCGCGGCTTCAGCCACAATTCCTGAGTGAACCATGCGCGACCCAACCATAGTGACCAGCTCGTCATCTGGTACGTCCAATCCACCTTCCAACGTCATACTTCTCAGCTTATCTCCCCTGCCGCAAGCCGCTCTCCCGAACTTCTCCTCTGTCCGTGGTTTCCCCATTGCTTCGAACCGCGTCAACCAATTCACGATCTCCCCGACTATCTCAAACCCTTTCGGCTCCCCAAATTCGAACTCTTCGAGCGCTGGTAGTGTCTTTAACAGCTCTATCACCTCACTCGCGACCAAATCCGACTCCAAGGTCACTCCACCAAAATTCAGCACGAGCCGTGTCAACTGCGGCGAGTGCGACATGAATTCCAGGCACGCCTGCGACGACCACTGGATGGCGCACATCTCTCTCAATGCCTTCGCTTCTCCTATGTCCACCCTATGCAACCGGACCGTGAAAGATTCCAAGGACGGCGCAGTGAGTTGCTGCAGCGGATGCACAATTGCCATGCGCCTATCTCGGCTGTCCTTTCTCCGACGTTGATCTACGCGAACGGATAAATGTACGAGCGTGGGGTGTATGTATCGCTTTTCCGGTTCATCATCGCCGTCGGTTTGTGGGTCGAGGATGGTGAGCGTGCGGAGGGCGGCGACAGCGACGGCACACTCGAGAGATTCGCTGACCATGAAGTCATGTGTCGTGAACGTGCGAAGGCCCTGTGGTAGGCCTTCGGCCGTCTGACGGGGAGGGAAGAAGAAATCGCCATAGGAGAAATTGCGGAGTGTGAGGCTTTCCAAAGCTGGGCTCTGTTTGATTATGGGAAAGAGTGCCGTCAGATTTTGGGATGGAACTAGTTCCTCGGTTAGGACCACATCCAAGTCCTGCAGCATCGGCGTTTTAACTACTTTGAAAGCACCCAAAGCGAAATTAACCGTCACGAGGGTGCGCCAACGTGCAGCATGTGGCAAGAATTGTTTCCTGAAAATCTCGAATTTATCTTCCCAGCCCCTTTCCGGATGCCAGAATGCCCCGGACTCATACGAGGCTGATGCTGTGATGTCCAGGGGATGATCCTGTGAACGAGCCAAGTAGATGGAGAGGACATTCGAGACGCGCGGGATCCAAGTTTCATCCTTTGCCCAGGGACAATGCTCGTCTGTCAGGATAAATGAAGACCAGCAGCCGCGGTTGGCAGTGTCGAGCATAATGTCACGCCACAGACGGCAAACGCGGCTAAGAGAGAGGGCAGTGGCCAAGTTCTCGTGAGTGAGATCGTCTTTTGCACACGCCACAGCGAAAATGAGGCAGAGAACTTCGGATGCGAAGGCTGCAATGGGCGCGACTGGTGCAGTGTATACTGTTTTGGTGGATGTGGTTGGGCAATCGGATGTCGTAGCTGTCGCTGATGCATCTGAGTGCTCCAAGCGTTCCTTTGGCGGTACTAGATCTTCCGACGTGCGATTCTTGTCAAGACTGTTTCCGTAGTGCAGAGAGTCTGGCGTCATCGCATGTTCAGAAGGAAGGGCGCGTTTCGCCCCCATAAGGCGCAGGAGAAGCGGTGATCAAGATTTCATTGACAGCCCGGCTTCAACCCGGCCTTTACACATCCTTTTCCGCCACGGTGGCCCGTGCACCACTTCCACTTCGTGTCCCAAACGCTGATGACTGATATGAGGGTTACACCTTCCTTTAGGGCTTTTGCTGAAGGAGCTCCACTGAAGGCTGGCATTTCTCGAATCTCAATGGACATTCGACGAATTCCTCGGGCCGCTCTGCATTTAATCCATCTTGAATATGGGATCCAACTGATCAAAGAGGTCTCGACAGAGGTTGCTCTCCCATTGGGGCGCTAGTTCTTTACAGTTCTCCATACACTGTTCTCTATGGAAGACTCGAGGTATTCTGGGGTTTATCGGTGGTTCTGTGGCATCAGAAGAAGAGGTGGCTACTTGTATTGGATCTCTTGATGTATGTGCGTTATTATATTCTATTTCGCGAAGATGCTTAACATGCGTTTCGAGTAGATGTATTAGTCGAATTCTGTTGTTCTGTAATTCCGCTGTGATGCAAAGCCCGGGGACCTGTCGTACCTCGAGTCTCCGGCCTCCGAGTCTCCTTCTGACATCAGCGTACATCCCACCCACCATGTCGAGGTCCGATACCTTCTTTTGCCTCAGCCACCATTCCCGAGCGCGATTTAACCATGGGTACCAGCTCGTCATCAGGCATGTCAAATCTCTTCCAACCCCAAATTTCTCCCACCCGCAAGCTGTTCGCCCGATCTTCCCCTCTGCCCACAGTTGTGTTTGCTCCCCAACTCCCTCAGACACTTCGACCTGATTATTATGGGGGGCTCAGGACGCTAAGACATGGTGAGATGGCCGAGCGGTCTAAGGCGCCAGACTAAGGACCAACATGCGTGGCATGTACTTCTTGAAATCTGGTCATTCGTGGCGTGGGTTCGAATCCCACTCTCATCAATATGAAATAATCATGCTATGCTCTTTTGTGCTGCATGTATGTCGTGATGTTTCTGGATGGGGCAGACAGCCGAGAACCTGGAAAAGGCTTGACGTAGACGCAGAACTCTGCCGATCGCGAGCATGCAGCATGCATCGAGAAGATTATATGCATTGTACAATAATACTCGAGGCCTTGAAGCTAGCTTTGGCACTCCGTGGGAGGGGCGGAACTGCTTGGAGGTGGACTCGGCATGCTTCTCGATGTCTGGCACGGTATTCTGTCCTCCACCCGGAGTTAGGATTTACACTGCTCGAAAATCTACCACTGCCGTTGCGATATGTGTGGGATGGATGATCGTTGTACAAGCAACTTGGGCGAGCTTGGCTGCTTGAATGTTTGAGTACACATGCATCCGACGGGGCTCAGGGCTAGAAAAAGCTCAAAACATAACTGGACACGACTGGTAATTTATGAATGCATTTCTCAATAAGTAACGTCATGGGCACAGAAAAAGATCACATTGTCGACCTTATGATCCATTTGCAACAGTATATGTACTACTTCAGACACGTTCAAACAAAACACCTATACATATTATTTCGAAAAAGAGGCATTATGATGAGAGTGGGATTCGAACCCACGCCACGAATGACCAGATTTAGGTACACGCCGAACGTGTTGGTCCTTAGTCTGGCGCCTTAGACCGCTCGGCCATCTCACCATGAGATGTGTAGCGGACGGGATGGTTTCTCGGGGGGCCAGAGGAGGGGAGGAGGACCAGGCAAATGGGAGAGTAAGTAGAAAGGGAAGCAGGGTTGCAAGGATGGTCGAAGCAGGGTTGCAAGGATGGTCTAGAACCCTCGAACCCAACAATCGCTTCTTATGCTGTTCGTTGGCCGTCTCGCCGCATTTCCCTTGCACGAACAAGAGGTCTCTTTCATTGTCATGTCGATGTCAGGCAACCGCCATGCTGGCAGTAGCTGCGCATCTCTCTCATCCAGATCTCCCTTACTGCATCTCCGGCCTCATCTCCGGCCTGTTTTCATCTCGACACCCTCGCATTCCCGAAGCCCGCCGCTAGTCAAAAGACGACTTGAAAGCCAGGTCGAGTCGGCCATCACCCCCAGCGAAAAATTGGTTCGGCAGAAATGAGTGGAATCGAGCCAAATAAGAGTCCATCGAGCCGAATCGATCGAAATCGACCAGAGCAAAATGAGCCCCAAACTGAATGATAGATTCTTGACGTCATCGACAATTAATATTCTCATTTCAGCCAACTCTGTGACTTTGAGCACACCAGCAAACGTGTTCGTCGACATCGACGCGGACGTCTCCTCTCGTCCTTTTTCATTTGCTTACGTGTGTCCCTAAAAAGTGTACAATACAAGCGCAAACCCAAATGACGCGTTTGCTCCTCTTCCCTCCTCCCACCACTACCCTTTGTAGTTATGGGTTCGCCAGCCGATGATGCACCATGTCAGACCGGAGGACGTTGCTGAGGCCGAATTTCAGAGGCATGAGCCGTGCTCGACACGGTGTCATTGACGGTGATAATGGTAGTAAAATTGAGAGTGGCCAGGGATCAGAGTGTGATGAATAGAGAGAATAGAACTTGTTCGGTGAGATAATTTCGAGGGGAGCGTGGAGGAGAAGATTGCAAATCAGATATTCTTGGCCATCAAGCATTTCTTAATTTTTCGGAAAGTATCACATCGAAGCACCGCCGGTGGGAGCATATTCAGTAGGAAAGCTTGCCGGTTGTAGGGGCCGACTGAATAGAATCAACCGTCGATGATGTCCAGTAGACTCGTTGCTTCTACTCTCAGCCAGTTAGTTATGTGCCAATTTTACAGACCGCGTCGTACTTACTTCGCCGCTCAACATTTGCTTCATTCTGTGAACTCCTTCTTTCGCGAAGGCGACCG